TGCTGCCGAGACTAGGTAAGGACTCGTGCCACAGAGAGAGGGGGAGGGGGAGCGCCGAACAGCCGCCGAGAGGGAGAGGACGCGTGCCGGGAGGGGGGGGGGGGGGGGGTCGAACAGCTGCCGGGACCAGGTAAGGACTCATGCCAGAGAGAGGAGGGGGGGGGGCCAGACAGCCATGGGGAGCGGGTGAGGAAACGCGCAAGGTAGGAGCGGAGGCGCAGAGACAGGCTTGAAAGTCGCAGACAGTCGCAGAGACAGGCTGAAGGCAGGAAACAGAGGAGCATTAGGGGGTCGGACAGCCGCAGAGACAGGGTGGTGAGAGCAGATGAGACGGAGGGGGGCCACATGATCCAGATCCGGATCCGGAGCCACAGATCCACTGGCCGCCCGGACTGGGTGAGTCTCTAGGACGGAGTCTCGGAAAGGGGAAATGATTGAGAGGACGTTACCAGACAGATAACCGCTTCCAGGCGTCCATTCCAGCTAGGACAGGGCTTAAGTGACCGCAGGTGACTGCAACATCGGAGCAAACGCTTACCAACAGATTGAGATGGGAAGGACGGGATTCAGTGATTGTAGCAGATTGATTCAGTAGTTGTATGGAATGGGAAAGTAGAGGAGAGTACGTCGCGTTAAAACGCGGATGCGTCGATAGACCGCATGTTTACCGTGTACGTGCACCGCAGAGGCACAGGCCCCCTCAGTGACGGAAATCAAAGCCCATGCTTTGTAATAAGCGGCTGAAAGGACGTTGCTGTTCACTACACTTCGTTTGAAGGGCATTTGACTTCCGCTCTAATGCATCTGTTCTCCGTATGAAATGCATTCTGTTATCAGCGATTCACAATGCCTGTTGACACGAGAAGATAAACGTAGTCGCAGCCACGTTGCCCGGAATGTGCTAGCAACCTGTACTAGGCATCCTATCTTAGATCGATATGTAAATAAGACCAGCTGCAAAACGCACCCAGATCGAATATGCATGTCGATTCACCCATATAAATCGCAGGTAGGGCAGCTCAGGCCCGGCCTGGGAGGCCAGCCCATCCCGTCAGTTGCAAACAGACCCAGTCCATAGACTCAGGCGGGCGGCGGGCCGCCCGCAGCTGTGCCCGCCGTGTCCGCTCCACGCCTGACCGGCCCACCACACCAGGAGTCCACCACGTCCGAGCCGCCGCCCAGCCCGCGGCTCGACGAGAAGGACGTGACCTCGGCTCAGATCGACACCTGGATCCGCCAAGGCGACCTGGAGAAGCTGGAGCAGGTGCTGGTCGACGGGCACGGCGACAGTCTGCACGGCAAAACGGCCTGGAACGAGCAGGCGCGAGGTATTCTCAAGGCGGCACCCGCCTTCATGGTGAGTGAGGGGCAGCAGCAGCATCGCTGCCTCCGCGCTGTAACGTCCGTAGGCCGAGGAGACACGCCCCTGCACTGGAGCAGCGCATGGCCTGAGCTCCATCCCCACCCACCAGCCAGCGGGGCCGCCGGTCATGCGCCGGGGCTGCCGCGTCAGCGACTGCATGTATCAACCGTCCTGCTGGTGTCGCACGCTGCCGCCGCTCCGACCCGCCCCCGTCCCCTTCGTCACCGCAGCGCCGCCTCTCTCCGCCGCCCGCAGGAGCAGATCGCGGCCATACACATCGCGGCAGCGCGCGGCGATGTGGCCGAGGTCAAGGAACTGGCGCGCATCAAGGGCCCCCACTCGAAGTCCGCCAAGCTGGTGCAGTCGCTAGACGAGCAGGGCCGGCTGCCGCTACACCTGGCCGCCTGGTACGGACACACGCCCGTCATCCAGTTTTTGACCGAGCGCTACCCGGCCGGCGTGCATATCCTGGACAAGGCGAGTACGACGGGAGGAGGGGGAGAAGAGCAGAGAGTAGAGAATCTGCCACGTGCAAATTTGTCTGGTGGTGAGATATCCGCGAGACAAACATGTCACATGTCCAATGAATATTAAATGTCAATAAAAGTACACATGAAAAGCACACAAAGCACACTCAGCTATCACGTGCTGCGTTCCTCGTGCTGCTTCACTCAAATTCACTTTTTTAGATGCATCCGTCACCTTCGTTTCACATTTATACTGGTCTAAAATGCTGGCGACACAATTCAAGCCGACTTCGTTGTGGTTATCTATTTAGGAATGAGCGCTAGCGGTATCGGGGCTTCGCAACTGGCAGCAGGCTTCAGCGTGTTTCACTGACGTCATGCACTCATTTATTCAAGAAGAAGGAATGTTTCACGGGGCAGTGACGTATCACAGCCGACAGCAGGGTTCAGCGTGTTTCACTGACGTCATGCATTCGCTTATTCAAGAAGGAAGAGTGCTTCACGGGGCATTGACGTACCGCAACCGACAGCAGGCCTTAGCGTGTTCCGGACTCACTTATTTAAGAAACAGGAGTGCTTAATGAGGCAGTGATGTATTGCAACCAGTGGCAGACGTTAGTATATCAACTTTAACTTTTTTGTCACGCTCGTTCAGGACTCGCGGGCGCCTCAGCATTATGCGGCTATGGCCAGCGATTCTAAGAAGGCCAAGAAGAACTACAACTACTTGATTGAAAAGGGTGGCAACGATAATGTGAAGGATTTGGTGAGTCCAGAGCACTGTCGGTTTTGGCTGCTCAAATGAAATTATACTCATTATTTGAACAAGCCAAGAAGAGAAGGTGGCTGGATGAGTATGAAATGGAATCGTCCCCTAGTGAGCATGAGAATATTGATTATGTCACTCACTTTAAGAGCTGGCGTCGTTTTCCAGCTCCGTATGAACCGAGTCCCTCTCTCCCGACTCCGTGTAAGACTGTCCGTTCAGCCAGCAGTCGCCTGATCAGATCTCACACCTGAGAGACGGCAGATGACGGACGGGCAGAGCCGTATTCCCGGATCCGTTCCGAGAGCAGCTCAGACGATCCCCTGACGGTCCCCTGCGGGCGTCGGCAGCGCGGCAACACCGCCAGCTACTACCTAACCAACCCGGCGGACGAGTCCCGGCCGCCAACGCCCGAGAAGGGCGCTAAACTTCGGGAACGGAACAGGACCCAGGACCGCGGCCGGGACCAGGACCATGACCGGGACCGGGACCGGGACCGGGACCAGGACGGGGGCCGGCGGTCGCGCGGGCAGTCACGCCACTCGCCGCGGCGAGGCAGCGACCGCGGAGAGGACGCGGACATCGATATGGACACGGTGGAGAGGATGCTGCTCACCGGTCGAGGCGAAGAGCTCAAGGGCGCCCGGTCAAAGGATCCTGATGTGCAGGAGCTGCTGGACTCTGTGCCGTATATCCTGGTACGTCCCACCGTCATAGGCTGCTTGTGTTTGCTCTTGGGGCGGTCTGACGGGTTTGCCATGTGTCATGTTTGCTATCCATAACAAACTGGCAACCAAAAACTCCACATTCGCACAAATTTTGACAACGGTCAAGTACAGTACTTCTGTGGAGCTCATTTGAACGACAGGTCAATCAGGTATTTGCCCTACCGTAAAGGCATGGCGTCAGTTTCCACCAACTCCGCTGAAAAGTCTCAACGAACGCCAACCCACTCTGGTGATAGATCTTCAAAGCTTAACTTTTACAGGGCAAGATAGAGAGCGCGCACCGCGCGGCGGAGAGTGGCGAGACCCGCGACGTGCAGGCGCAGCTGGACCGCAGGAAGTTGGCCGGCTCGACGCTCAAGGATGGCGCCAATCCGCTGCACCGGGCCGCGTTCATGGGACACGCCGGTCAGTGAGATGTTCGGGGGACACGCCGGTCAGTGGGATGTTCGGGGGACACGTCGGTCAGTGAGATGTTCGGGGGACACCCGGCCAGTGAGATGTTCGGGGGACACGCCGGCCAGTGAGATGTTCGGGGGACACGCCGGTCAGTGAGGTGTTCGGGGGACACGCCGGCTAGTGAGATGTTCGGGGTTCGTTCATGGGACACGCCGGTCAGTAAGATGTCCGGGGGTGGTCGCTCATGGGACACGCCGGTCATTAAGATGTTCGGGGGTCATTCATGGGACATGCCGGTTAGTGAGATGCTCATGGGACACGCCGGTCAGTGAGATGTTCGGGGAGACGGCAGTTTGTGGAGCCTTCAGTGGTCGCGCCGGGCAGTAACGCGCACTTAATACCATCCATAAAACGACTCAGAAGAGAGTTGACAGTAGGCAGTGAAATATTCAGGGATCGAAATCAATGGAATTGCTCGGTTTTTGAGCCTCCTTCTAGGTGATGCATCTTCCACACCATTTCCGCGTCTATGCAAACCGAGAAGAGTGCTTCAAATATATATATATATATATATATATATATATATATATATATATATATATATATATATTCTTTTGCGTTATTGCACTACTTTCGACTGTGTTCCAAACCGCAAAAGATAAGTTTTAACCAAGCACGAGACGTCGCTGAATGCGCCCAGCCCCGCTCCAGCACTACGGCACCAGTCACCTGCCCCCCCCCCCCCCCCCCAGGCGTTGTCCGCTACCTGGCGCAGAACTTCCCGGACACGATGGAGGCGGCGGACAGGAACGGCCGGACACCGCTGCATTACGCCGCCGGGAGCCGGGACGGCGGGCACTGCTACAAACTGCTGCAGAGAGCCGGCGCGCGCGAGGACGCTACGGACAAGGTCAGTCGGGGTCACGTGTGTCACTGGGTCGTCGATGGCAGTTGTCTCGCGTCAGCGATCATAGCTAGCTGCATTAATGTGATTAGTCGTCTTACGGCGGCGATTTTCATCAGCTATCTTACGCCATCCTTTTACAATCTATTTTGCGCCAGCGCTTATTAGTTAGATTGCGTCATTAGTACAGGAGTTATTTTACGCCAGTGGTATCAGTTATCCCGCCCGTTGACATCAGGGTGGGGCCAGGAGTGCTGGGGTTTTGGGCGCATAGCTTGCAGTGACAGGCTTGCAGCGTGTAGGTCGCGTACAGCATGCAGTGACTTTGAACAAGGATCCAGCAGCGCTTGCTGCTCAGGTCGAACCCGCCTTGCTCGCTGTCCGGGTGCTTGTCGTGCGTGCCGCGCACCTACGCGCACTAGGTCGCGTGCCACGCATGGGGCCTGCGGCTGCGTCCGACGACACACCAAACCTCACTTTGCCTTGACCTACACCTCTTCAACAGTCTGATGGTAATGGCCGACAAACAGAAAACGTGAGAACTCGCCAGACTCCACAGGGCGTTCGAATCAACCCAATGCATCAGGTTCCACCACGTTCGCCAGTGATCTCTGCTAACGAACATCCTTCCCATCCGAATGTCTGCATCAGTGTCACCAGCTGTCGCACCACCTCCCCCGCCGACAGCACTGCCGCTGTGCCCACGCTGCTGTCGCGTTCACAGCGAGGCCGCGAGCCGCGGTACTACCTGGAGCACCGCGGCGCGCTCCGCTACACTTCCGTGGACCAGCAGACGGAGGACTACGCCGACTCCGAGGACGAGGCTGACGGTGAGTGAGCCGGCCTGGCCCGGCCCGGCCCAGCGGCCGCCGGCTGCCGGCCGTGCAGTGGGCCAGCCCCGGGGCCGGCGCGCGCTGCCTGGCTGATGATGATGCCGCAGTGCAACAGCCAGTTGTCCTCGACGCCGCCCCGCAGCTGAGCTCATGCTTGCTGGCTGTCGGGCTACAGATGTTGGCAGCGGGTGCTTAGACAAATGATGCGCGGGGATGACGTTTGCGGTGGACCTCGATGTGGCTGTGTTGGCCCTTGTCTTTGGGGTTGACATTGTTGAAATATTTGCATTCGCTTTGTATGCAATGACTTATTCCGGACGTGGAAAGTGGAAGAGAGGTAACAACAGCCCATGCGTGGGTCACTGAAAACCTCGTGGGCTATCGTCTCCTGCCGAAGGCACCGCCATCTTGATCTGCAGACTCCGACTGCCACGATCGCCAGATATTAAGAAAAAAACAGAGGCACCCGACGGTCACGATGATGACGTCATTGATGACGCTATTCCATCCATTACGCCATTGCATAAGCCCAGTAATCCACGTCGGATGGCTTAGAACAGGCCCACGACAGTTACAAACCTAGATGATGGCAAGTAGATAGACAAGAACATGGGCCGATGATGTGAGTGGTAGGATGTGAACGCTCTGCTAGCTAGTTTTTTGTGAACATATCCTAGACACAATGAAATGAGATCTCACAAGAACTTGTAATCATTTAATTCCAGTGTGAGCCGATGGCACAGCAAACGTGGGTCACTGGAAACTGCCGAAGGGACAAGGCACAAGTGTTAACGCAAACCTGATTCTCAAGCCGAGTAGTACGCATACCATAACGCCGAACCGTTCGGAAGCCTCGAGTCATCCTACTGGATGAATTTGACGGCTGTGACGTCTCATGTTTCTAATGTGTTACTAGCACTAAATACGTTATGATCAGCAAAAAGCACAACCGAACTAGACGCCGCTTCGTTTCAAAGTGCGAGGAGACCTGACCTGACCTGACCTCTGTCTGCGTCGCCTGAGGTAGCAAACGATTGCGTGCGGACAGCCATCCTTCCCTGGATGCTAGGCGATCCTGCCAAAAACCCACCAAACAAAGCTTAGCATATAACTTTTCCGGGATCTACAGCGAGACAATTGAATATGGTATGAATACTGAGCAGTCAAAGCTGCTTAGAAAATGCAAAATATAGATAACGGAGTCGTTCACTGTAAATTACTATGGCCGCAGTTGTTACCATTGTTTAACAGTGTGAAGCTGCCTGGATAACATTAACTAAGCCCAGCATCACTGTCTTGCCTCAGCATTGCCGACCTGGCCCTGACCTGGTCCAGCACCGATTACCTGACCTAGCACCGCTGACTTGACCCAGTATCGCTGACCTGACCCAGCACTGTTGGCCTTTTCCAGCACCGCTGACCTCTCCCAGCAACGCTGACTGTCCCAGCACCGCTGACCTGACCCAGCATCGCTGACCTGTCCCAGCACCGCTGACTGTCCCAGCACTCCTGACCTGTCCCAGCACCGCTGACCTGACCTATTACCGCTGACCTGATCAGCACCGCTGACCTGATCCAGCACAGCTGACTGTCCCAGCACCGCTGACCGTCCCAGCACCGCTGACTTGTCCCAGCACCGCTGACCGGCCGCCGTTTTCAGCCGGAGCCGGCGCGAGCCACCGCAGTCCGGACCGGCTGGGCGCCGGCTCGCGGCTGGACGGGCGGCGCGCCAGCATGGACGAGCACGGCTCGCGCAGCGTCAGCCGCGCCTCAGCCGCGCCCGACATCGAGTTCACCGAGGACGCCAGCCGAGACGAGGTGGACGAGATCGAGCGCGCCTTCGAGACGCTGCAGCGCTCCTCGTCCAAGTCGCTGCTGCGCAAGCACCTGACGCGCGATGTGCTGGAGCAGGTGAAGCGGCGCCGCACGCGCCATGGCGCCACGCTGATGGATGTCATTCGCTCTGGCGTGGCCAACCTCGACTCGGGCGTGGGCGTGTACGCCCCGGATGGCGACGCGTACACCGTGTTCGCGCCTCTCTTCGACCCCATCATTGAGGAATACCACGCCGGCTTCGGGCCGGCCATGCGCCAGCCGTCCATCTCCTTCGGCCACCCGAAAGCAGCTGCCCAAGGTGCTGGGAAACCTGTCGCGGCTGGGCAAGTACGTCATCAGCACGCGCATCCGAACGGCGCGCAGTCTGGAGCAGTTCCCACTGAACCCGCTGATGAACGAGCACGACTATCTGGACCTGGAGTCGGAGGTCAGCCAGGTGTTGAAGGACCTCAAGGGCGACCTCGCAGGTACTTACTACCCGCTGGACGGCATGAGTGCTAAGGACAAGAAGCAGCTCATCGACAACCACTTCCTCTTCAAAGAGGGCGACCGCTTCCTGCAGGCGGCCAACGCGTCGCGCCATTGGCCCAAGGGCCGCGGCATCTTCCACAACGAAGCCAAGACGTTCCTCGTCTGGATCAACGAGGAGGACCACCTACGCGTCATCAGCATGGAGCAGGGCGGCAACGTGACCAGCGTGTACGCACGCCTCGTCACGGCCCTCGTCAACCTCGGCAAGCAGCTGCGGCTGCGGCGCGACCGCCGACTCGGCTCTGTCACATTCTGCCCGACCAACCTGGGCACGGCCATCCGCGCCTCGGTGCACATCCGGCTACCGCGGCTGGCGCGCAACCCGGCGCAGCTGGAGGCGGCGTGCGCGCGGCTCGGCCTGCAGGTGCGCGGCACGCACGGCGAGCACTCGGAGAGCGAGGAGGGCGTGTTCGACCTGAGCAACAAGCGCCGCCTGGGCCTCACTGAACTCGACGCTGTCACCGAGATGTACCGCGGCGTCTCGGAGATCATACAGATGGAGCGCGACGCCAAGAAGTAGTGGGCGCCGGACGGCGGGGTGCGGACTCTGGGCGGCTGTGGCGGCAGCGACGACCGGTACGCGTCGAATACCGACAACGGCACAGGCGCGGACTATGGGTACCTAGGAGAGATGAATGGGGGCGCTGTAGAGGACGCGCGTGTGGTGATTGGTGCCTCGCTGGCGAACGCGATGAGGGAAAGGGTGTGATGCATGACTGCGCACGGGTACGCCGTTGGGGCTTGCACCGCCCGTGGCGCAGACCACTGGAGTGGTAACGGATGCTGGTCGTGGTCGTTCTCAAGCGGTCATAGTTTTCGCTGTAATACTGCTGATCCGAGGAGTGGATGGTGGCGACCGGGAGCACCCTGCAATAACCCATGTGCGTTACCCTGTTGACGCCAGTTTCGTTTTGGCCCCTCGAAGATGTGGAAGGTATTGGGTCATTTGTGTACTGTGAATTTGCGTGTTAAGTTCTTGAAGGTGTATAGTTAGCGTGAGCTGGAGAAAGGCACAGAACCCTGTCCTCCTCGCATAATTGTGAAGCCTATATATATATATATATATATATATATATATATATATATATATATGTCCTGTGGTATACTCATAGAAGCTCTGCTTGTGTGATATTTGGATGGCACTTGGCGTTAAGAGCATACATAAACATTTCACGCAAGGGTAATCACTTCGTTGCAAACGCAAACAGCAACCATCGCTAATTTCTCGGACGAGAGACTAACGATGAGTTGAGATCGAGGGAGGGTGCGGAACTTCTGATCGTGTAGCTCATTGTTAGGCAGTGTCATCTGCAGTTTGGTTATCATTCTCAGCTGAATGTCCTGCGCTGTTAGTCTACGTGCTTGCTTGTCTTGTCGCGTGGCTCACATAAGGGTATGCGTCCAACTGACGCCTCAGTTCTCTCAAGGTGTAGAGAGCGATATCAACGCAACGATCCCCGTGCTATACGCATACACGCTGTTGCTCGTTTCGGCACTGAGATGAGCGGCATTCTGAAGGGACTCCTTGGAGTCGATTGGCGTGAAGAGCGTGGCACTGCAAGGCAAGAGTGCCGTCTGACAGTCAATTGATCGATTTTGGAACGTCCCTGGACCGACCAAATTACGATCTTGTACCGTGCTTGACTGATAATAAATCGACAGGCGGTCGGCATGATTTTGTTCGGAGCTATGTCACGAGGATGACCCAAACCGTGATTACCATGGGCAGTAATTAACCCCAGATGTCGCGGCTGACCGCTGTCCTCGGAGAGGCCCGTGTGTAGCATTACCTCCCGCGCTGAGCGGACGGGAAACAAGCCGCCGACACAGGGCGTTCAGGTCAGTGCACTCGTGCAGCCGTGCGTGATGATGCAGCGCTCGTGCGCTGGTGCAGCTCACCGTGCACTCCTCACTAGCACTTTGCAGTCCCGAACGAAGTGCAACGGCCCAGGTGGCACTGCTTTCCGAAGTTGGTGGCTTGTTTTTCGCACCGCTCGTAAGGTTCGCCTCCCAGACACGGGCGGCCTCGCCGGTTGCGCCCTTGTCTTGCAGTGAATGGTGTGTGATGCATCTAGCTAGTTGTTCGGAGTCGAAGCATGGCGTTTGCAATGTCTAACTTGAGTCGGTGAAGGTGGTAGTCCTGAAGACCGCCATCCTGCCTTGGGTTTGAATCGAAACCGACGGGTTTAGTAAATGTCTGTACTGTCTTTACTACATTCGGATCTGCCTAGCTCACTTAAGAATAAATAATGACCGTAGAAAAGCTCAGCATGCCCCTTTAACTTAGTCGAAATTTAACGCCGGTAATCCAGTGCGTAGATAAAATGTATGCTGTATGCACCATTAGATTGGTTTTCCTGTAACCCTCCGCCTGTTATCTACTGGATTTTGGGCATACCCTCCCGCTGTTCATCAAAATCGAACCGCTCACCAGTTTACAGCCCACTCTCCATTTGCAACAGCGTGGTCTCATAGTTCCCTCGACAGTGGCGACCACGCGCTAACCCACTCTGGTTGCACAATCATGATTTCACCCGATATGTTGACGGCCTCTTGCCAGCGTCATTAATGCATTGCATTGTGTGACGAAGGGCTAGGCATGAATCTAAAAAATTAATTGTTTAGTACGGAGGCTAACAAAAAATGACCCCTCGTTACTTGATGTTAAGCGCACAAAACGCCAGGCCGTTCGCAAAAATATTTATAAGTCTAAACCAGCATGTTTGCATTTCGCTACCAATGAGACGCCTGGCAAGGTGTCGATGCGTATGGTAACGAGCGAGGTGGCACAGACGTGGCGTTTTCCCAGTGTGCACGGTGTCCAAACCTAGGCGAAAGGGGCCAGATACCTGCGGGATCCCGTACAGCGGCGTTTGATGATCACCGCATTGGAATGCCTATTTTGTGCGGGGTTTAGGCCCTGGAGGGGTCGCCACGCAACATTGGCCGATCACGTGGCATGGCAGCTGGCTGGCAGGAAATCTGGCAGGGTTAAACAGATTAAATAGCAGATTATGATCGTGACACATCTCGAAAAAAAATAATTTGAAAATATCACAATGTACCGCCTGAGTCACCAGTGGGCGGTACAGGAAGCCCTTCATCAACGTTCTACGATATCTGTGCTACCCACAATGAGTATGATATATTCGTAGTGGGTGCCTGCGAGTATGTGCCGCGAGAAATGACGGACAGGCTTATAACAATGTGCCAAACTTATGTCCATTGTATGAATGGTACCATGACATTTCGAACTACATCTATGTAGGCAAGAGAGCACCAGAAAGCCAAATTCGTGACGGTGCCATGTCATTAGCACAAATCATTAAAAACGCTTTCACCAAGGCTGTTCCTTCGTTAAAAATGGCGGCGCCCGGTTACCGCTGTATGAATGACGTCACCCTAGTAAAATAAAAACCTAGTTGCGCACCTGCGAGAGCGAAACAAATAAATAGCTGTAGTTTTCGAGCTTAAACATTGATGTGCATGTTAAACATGTAACAGGTGCATGCACCTACAATCGATGCATGTGTGTGTGTGTGTGTGTGTGTGTGTGTGTGTGTGTGTGTGTGTGTGTGTGTGTGTGTGTGTGTGTGTGTGTGTGTGTGTGTGTGTGTGTGTTTGTGTGTGTTTGTGTGTGTGTGTTGCGTGTGGGCAAGACGTCATGTGTAAGCGATGTTTGGGCTCAGAAAATTGACGGCTGCATTGACGCAGTGACATGAGTTTGTGTGATGTGAAGAGCTGGAGCTACTGAAGGTCTCCCTACAAAATGTGTAATGTGACGCCCCAATGTCGCTCATTTCGTGTATTGAATTCTGCTTTCATTTTCCGACAGGTACCGTAATGAAGCCGAAACCTGTGCGAAAGAAGAGGAGCGAAGGCCCTCAAGGGAAAGAAGACGGAGGAAAACAGGGGGTTAAAGGGAAGGGTAAGAAGCGTTCACCTGGAAGCATGACAACCGAGGAGGGAAAATATCTGATGAAAGGTCAGTAATGCGCCAGGGGACCCTGAGCCCCGTGCCACCTCAAGGTCATATTGTGATGCATGTGATAATGCACGGATAACAGACGAATAATGTGTGAAAGATGATGCGCTAATGCATGATGTAGATGTTAGGATATGATGTATGTAAATGACTGATGTTAGATCCAGATAGATGCGTGATGATTTAGAAGTAAAGATGCATGATGATGTAAAATGTATGAAAAGATGCAAGATGGTGTAAGGTGTGGGTGAATATGTATGCAGATGCATAGTGTATGCTTGATGTACGATGCAACATGTACATGATGAAAAATGTATAGAGGGTATGATGATGATGTAGGTGATGTATGACGATGATGATGTATGTATATGCACATGAATGATGTATGATGTCTGCACGCATATATGCATGTATGGCGTAGGGTATATGCGTGGTATATGATGTGTGTGAGATGTATGATGTAAGAATAGATGATATATGATGTTTGCACCTATGATATAAATTATGCAAACGAGATCCTCCAGGCCGCGTATGCAGCAGGACGAGTCGGCCGCCTCCCATGCATGGACACGTGTGCAGCAGGCCGAGTCGGCCGCCTCCCATGCATGGCCGCGTGTGCAGCAGGCCGAGTTGGCCGCCTCCCATGCATATACACGTGTGCAGCAGGCCGAGTCGGCCGCCTCCCATGCATGGCCGCGTGTGCAGCAGGCCGAGTTGGCCGCCTCCCATGCATGGCCGCGTGTGCAGCAGGCTGAGTCGGCCGCCTCCCATGCATATACACGTGTGCAGCAGGCCGAGTCGGCCGCCTCCCATGCATGGCCGCGTGTGCAGCAGGCTGAGATGGCCGCCTCTCCCGCACGGCTGCGTCTAGCAAGGCGCAGCAGTGATGCGTCTGGAGCAGCTCCTAATGAAACCGTTTGACTGGGTATCGCACCCACCCGTGATGCGCTCCCATTGGCTGCTTTTAAAACCACCGCGCTGGTATTGCCAGCTTGTGGCGATCAACGCCGATGTCACTTGGGGTCAATGTTGATGGCATAAAAATGGTTAAGACCGCGGCACTCGCAAAGTCGGTTCTGCCTTCACACTGGGCACAACAGGCGCCCTCGGCCGCATTATAGTAGAATACATATATATATTACATATATATATATATATATATAATATAGTATATATATATATTATATATTTATATATAGATATTATATATATTACCGTGCATATGTATGTGTATATGCAACGATATATGCATATGTGTGTCTATACACACACGCATATATATATATATATATATATATATATATATATATATATATATATATATATATATATATATATATACGTGCATATGTATGTGTATATGTAACGATATATGTATATATGTATCTACACACACACACGCACATATATAGTTATATATATACGCATATATATATATATATATATATATATATATGTATATGTATATATAAATATACTTATGCGTGTGGCCCTCAATAATTATTATGTGCAGACTTTTGACCTGATCGTCATGATAACGAGTCTGTCGAAAATTTTCGACCACGGCACTGCTTATAGCGATGGCAAGTAATGTTCTGTGATGTTGTTCCTAGCTTTTATTACCGTGGCTCTTGACCTCACGTCATGGTGCTAGGCCGGTGACTTACGCTTAAACGTTTTCCCTC